TGCGTGAGAGGCTTCAAAAACACACATGGCAGGTGTTCCTTACGCTCGTGGGGCGTTATCGACGCCCAAGATCGGATGGGCAGAGGGAGTTTTGGACATATCAGCACTCTACCTAATTGACTTTCGTGGCCGAAAGCCTTTCAAGGCACGACTGCACGCACAACGCAGGAGCCCGCTCCGCCTCTGTCCACTGCCGCCTGCTCCCCCCGATACCCCCCACCCTCGGACGGCAAATTTTGCGTTACTTGAACTTTTTTGTCCTTAAATCATGTTGTTCGCATATATTTCAAAAATCTCCAAAGTGCAATTTTCGGCAAGGACACTAAGTAGCCGATACAGAGTCTGATCGGTTGTTCATTTCTGGTAATAGACGAATGCATCTGCTACCCCCTACGGACATGTCCTTGATCGTATAGAGGAAGATTTGCGTGGCTTTGAACTTCGAGAGTCAGGCGGTGGCTCTTCGTGTCGAAGACTGCCAGTCCGATCATTACTTACCGATCCAAGTCAACTCAAAGGAGTCCCATCAGGGATGAGCGGGCAAAGTCCAGGCTGGCCTCCAATATTAGCAGAAAGATAATACCCATATTTGAGAAGGTTCCTGCGCCCCCAAAATTCATGAAAAATAAGGACCATTGAGAAAAAGATGTATAAAATCTGAAAAATGAGTTGCGGTAACTGAAGCAAGACGTTTATTCACTTGATGTTGCGGAATTTCACTCGAATCCATCAACAGAAATAGTTGCAGATAAGGAGGCTAAACACACAATGGCCACTATATTTATTGGATACAGTTTCCATGCCACGCGGTAGACGTGCTAGACCAACACGGGAACCAGATGTGGTTCCCCCAGGTGTGATCGGGAATTAGTATCCATAACAAATGCTATCACTCGGGGAGTGATGGCATGTCCCGTCACAGGCCCAGGACGGGCCAAATGGGATCCAAGCCGCCCAGCATATTTATCTTTGTTTACAATCATAGTCAGGTTTTTGTTGTAGACCAGGGAGTGTGGTAGTACGCCTACGTGCGGGTTTTCACCGTACCAGCCCCCTGCGCCCTCCCCCGCCTCGGGTCTTCTTGCCCCTGTCTTGACACCGGGTCCAGATGGGAAGGGGAAGGGGAGAGTGCTGTAGACGCTGCGAAAGTCTGCTATCACTACAAACTAAATCGTACATAAGTCACCGTGGCTGCTCTCACCCCGCTGTGAAACACACGGTGGACGTCGTCGGAATCGACTGTCGAACTGTCGATAACTAGGAACGCCCGCGTCCACCGCCAAAGGTCGCAGGTTGTACGATGATTGCCTTCTCACCCGCATCTGACTGTCTTAGATGATAGGTTTAAGTGAGAAGCCAAAAAGTCAAGTGAGTAAGTACTTTTTACAGAGATTGAATCGCATTCTTCTGAACTACTTCCTGTCTGGGTGCACAGAACGCCAAACGCAGGTGTTGGTCATCACAAAGTCACCCATTCTACCACGTTCCCTTGACTTTCATGGTCGAAATGTCGGGCTGACTCGGGCGAGCGCAGACGCAGTGCCACACACGCACACACATTTATCGATAGAAGAAATCCAAGTAGACTTTACTCATTCGACCATTACCTTTGTGCGAATTTTCACGAGACCACCCGAAAGAGAATTTCTTTCTAACCTGGCTCTCATTGTCGACGATGGAGTCATGTCTGTCGACAGCCTTCCAAGCCGTTATATTAAGCTGCCATGGTAGATGGAATGGACGTCTGATTGGATATAATGAGGAAAGATGGCACGAGATTTGGTCCTCTGGTCCCAACCACATACACCAGCTGACGTGGTATGTAACTATAGACCTTAGCTCATAACACAGGCGTTTAACCCCATTTAAGTCTGACGAAACAACGATGGTATATTTGGGTATTTTTAGCCCTCCCCCGTCTCCGGTCTTCTTGACTTTGTCTTGACATTGGGTTCAGGTGGAGGAGGGGAAGAGTGTGATAGACGCAGTGCAAGTCTACTCTCCCTATAACTCATACCCCAGTCACCGTCCCTGTTATTACATTGCCGTGGAGCATTCGGTGGACATCGTCGGATGCAATGCTCGAACTATCGGTATATTTTAGAACCGACGACGCAAATCTACCTATCTCTACGAAAACGGGAGGTCGCCGCCATGGCGAAATGAAGGTTGGACGCAGAAACGGTGACTTAGGTCGGTCTCACTGTCTTCGACTGTCGTATATGCGGATTTGCAAATTTGCCAGTCATTATGTTGCCTCAAAAGTTGCGGCGTCTCATAAATTCGATTAACTAATTTTCCTTCCTAACCCGTGGAGGAGTCGATGTTTGAACGGCGTTCATTCGCATTGGTAAGGAATAGGAAGAAAAATGAACACCCCGTCATCACAATGGATCAATGCGACATCTCAACCCTACGTATTCTGGTAATAGCACTTGTTACAGATTGAGACTGTCAATGCTCTCCGGAGCTTGTCGCTGGTTGCATATTCGGCGTGTTACTTTCTACCAGGACGGTTTCATGAAATCTAATGTTAAACGGGAGGCAGTCTTAAAATTACCGAAGGGACTCTTTGAAACATTAATGTGAAACATGAGAACTATGTTTGTCAAAAAGCAACACTAGTTCATGCCAAATTTCTTTACTAACATTTGAACAGGCGTGACAAAAGTTAGTGCAAGAGGCACTAAAAATGTCAGTGAAGAAGAAAGGTTGTCGAGCACCGGAACACTCTGTTTATTGTGCTTAGCTTTGGAACTCGTGCAGGGCTTCATCGTCAGAGGTAGTAACAGCGACAGAACAAGCGACAGTTATAGGGCGTGTTAGCCAATCATCGACCGTCGGCACAGGACTAGAGGTGACTGCGCAGGACGCCGTACGCCGGCGCCAGATCGATAAATCGACTGACTGAGTTCTCATCCGAGGCCCAAACTTTAATCAATTCTGGGCTTGTTCACTTCCGGCGTGGGCGACTATTTTGATGGCTGCGAGGTGAAATTCGTGACCCATTTCGTAGGTGTGGGTGACCACTTGTGATAATGCGTCGCCTCGCCGCACAGCCAGCTTATGTTCGTGTATGCGCGATCAGAGCATGCGTCCAGCCTGGCCTGCGTAGTTACAAGGACAGTTTGGGTGCGGGATAGGATACATTACTTCAGACCGCTCCTCAGGCTTTAATCGATCTTTAATTTTCATGAACCTGCTGCGCATGATGGCTTTAGGACGGTGTGAAACTCCAACACTTAGCTCGGCTGCTTCTGAAACGTCCTTGATGTATGACAGAGAACGCCACATCGTTGGTGGTGTTAATGTTTGGGTCCTCTGGGGACGACCGAGTAGGCAGCGACTTATGAATGCCCTCGGATAGCCATTTTGCACAAACTGGTCACGAAGGTAATGGGTCTCACGTGTTCGTTCCTCTAGTTTGCGGCAATAAGTTTGGATCCGTTTGAAGAGCGTCTTCACACAGCTTCGTTTGTGAGCCACCGGATGGTTGCTGTGAAAACTGAGAAGCTGTGTTGTGTTCGTCACCTTCCTATAAACCGTCATTTCAAGTTCACCGTTAAGGTCCCGTCTGACGAGCACATCCAGGAAGAGTAACTGCTATTCCTGTTCTTCTTCCCTCGTAAATTTTATATCGAAGAAGACGGCATTGAGCAAGTTGCGTAAATGTTGTAGCATGTCCTTATTTACGATAACAAACGTGGTGCCAGAATACTGACTTTTGTTGGATGAAGACAATATTTTCTAAATCCTGTAGACCAGTGCTGCCATTAAACCGGAGACCGGTGAGCCCATTGGAGTTCCTTTGATTTGTTCATAGGTCTCTCCAATAAAAGTAAATAAAGTTTGTTGTCAGAATTAAAACAACCTCATGAAGTCTTCAATTTTGAATGAATTCTGGGTCTCGTCTTATAGTCTCTTGTGCAAGACTTCGCGGGTCAAGTTTGGTGGAACGGATGTGAATAACGACCTCACATCAAAGGAGACCATGATTTATTTTGACTGAATCCGCCGACCCCGGAGGCTGATCGAACTGGGGCATTCGAAGTGACCTGGAAGAACCTCAGTTTTAAGTACATACACTCTGCCAAATTATAGGTGGGGCTACCTTTTAGGGCAACGATTGGCCGCAGTGGGACATCTGCTTCGTGTACTTTTGGTAGACCATAGGATCGATCTAGAGCGGTGTCAGTTAACTTCGTTTGCTGCCATTCATTCTCCGTGATCACATTTTGTGCAGGTATTCTCTGCGCGGTTTACTCAACCGATCTGCCACAGCTTTGGTTTGTGAGTTCTGTGCTGGCCTTCATTCCTGGCTGGCTTTAGAGTTTCCAAAGATATCGCGCTGGATCCTTTGCCAGGAGATCTGTTGTTAGCTTATAAATTCATGGGCTATTTGTGTGCTCCAATGCCTCATGATGCTAACCTCTGGAGTTCAAAATAATCGGGATGTAGAATAAAGCTTAACGACGAGAACTTCCATTTAATCAGCAATTTCGCGTCCGTTGGGCAAGTTTTTCGAAGATCCTACGCCAGGGTGGAGTTTGGGCGATACCGTTTTTCCCGCGTTTACGTAACTGTGGCCATCTGTAGGCCGTGATCCACTCGCTGAAACAGAATTGCCCGGGTGTGCCTACTACAAACAATCACAAATTTTAGTTCCGATTTAAGCTTGTCGTCTGCTTAAAAGGCTTCCGAAATAACTGCTTGTAAGAAACGTTATTCACGAAAGCCTAATTTACATTAGGTTGGTCTCGTTATGGAGTGAGCACTTTTAGGACACTATGGGGAATGGAAAGCTCATAAACCAAGAAAGATTTGCTGTGAGCAGGCTGTGGCCGTTGGGCATATTATCGTACTCTGTGCACTCTACTTACGACATATCACAGTTACGTGTAGCATCTGTGCAAATTATTAGATATTCCGCTCAGTTCAATTCCCGAAAATGAGCTTAGAGTAACCTGAGCGTCATTCAGAGGAAATCCTGCGTTAAAGCCCTATAGAGTAAAATAATTGACCGGTGTATCGTTCTTCTTCTTCTTCTTCTTCTTCTTCTTCTTCTTCTTCTTCTTCTTCTCTGCAAACTGGGTGAATGAAGCGCAGCTGTTGCCTGACTGTTATCTTCAGCAGACATCCAGAACTCGATTAAGTCAGTAAATGTAAGCAGTTAAAACCACTTGTCATAACACTGAACGGAAAATACCGTGAGCTCTGCAATCCAGTAAGAGTGGAATTTAAATTAATTTTCGCGTTTGGCAGGCCAAAAGTGTCAAACCCACTAGCATCACAAATTGTTGTTGGAAAATGCTCTTTTCCTGAACGGCCTGACTTAACGAAAGTCTCTAATGTTGCATGTTATACGAACTGTCTAAGTTTCAACTGATAAATGTAGACATGCCCGTTCGACTAAGACATATGCACGAGCCTCTGATAGTAATTTACAGTGTGTCAAAAATCACGGAATGCTTGTGGAAATTTTCTTCTATGTTATCCAAGCAAAAATTTCATTTAGGTAAGATCGTAAGGGTAGGGAAAGATTGTGTAGAACCCCCCGCTCACCGCCTGAACCATCTTCATACACAGAACTTACCTACTTTACCTTTAATCAGTGGACAGCGGGTACTTTTCCGCGAGATTGCGCGCAATTTCTTTTCACAAACACTTTATTTGTGCAGGCTTAATCCGAAACTACCTTTTATTACAGGGTTGGGAGCAACCGTGCGTATCCCTCCAAAACAACCATTCCCTACAAATTACGGGATGCATACAACATAAATGCTATTTTACTATTTTACATACTTCAGAAGTCTACCTTTTCTCCTTCTGAAAAACCAAACCTGTAAAAACCTCCATTAACTATCGCTGTTATATTACGATGGCCTTATTTCATAGGTCAGGGGGGAAGAAGGAGGTATACACAACCATTTCCGACGATTGTAAGACCGATTGTCCTAGAATATAACCCTAACTCCCGTTGCACAAGACACCATCATGCTGAATTTTGACTGATATTTTCATCAGCCGAGAAATTTCTGTGTGTATTTTACATTTTCTAGAGTTATTTCAGCTGTCCCTGTGATTAAGATCACAGTATCTATAAATGGTTCACCTAAAATCCATTCTATGAACTAATTTGTGTGAAATTACGTCTTTTGTGGTGCTTGTGTCTGAAGAAAAGTAGAATTTCGGCTCTTGAAAAGTTCACAAGTACAACACTGTTGTTGTATGCATCCTTTGACTCATAGATTGATTAGCCCTGCAAATAAGGTATGCACTGTGATTCGTACGTGCAGCCATCGGCGGGCTTTTTGCGTGCATATTGGGGTTTGTATGGATTTACCTCAGAGGAAATAGATGGTACTTAGTTTGCAAATCTTAAGATGGAGTGAATATGCACGTCATGCCGCAAAATATTAAAAAAATACTCCCGAGATTTTGGAGACAAAATGGGGTCTAAACATAATCGGTAATATGTTCGTACAGAAAAAGGACGTGACATTACATTCCCTGGTAGTTGGGTAAGCTAAAACCGCACTCAACCAGGCCCTACCATCAGAATCAGAAAAGGTTCTATCAGCCTTACTTGAGCTTCGGTCAATACTCTACGCATTCAAGTACGGACGGCCGCAAGGGATTAAGGAGGTTTCTGTTCTCATAGAAAAGATCTCAACTCTTGTGTCCTAAATGAGTCAGGTAAGGTTATGCAGCCACGCCTGAGGTAAACAAACCCCAACCACCTGTAATACGCGACCGATGGTAATGGGGGTTTTTACAGGTGGGGCCGGGAGACGCACAGGCGACGAGGTCAAGTAGCTGTATGCAAAAGAAAAGCTATTGGGAATGCGCGGTTGTACTTTGAGTGGATGAGAATTAGTTGCCCTAACACCCAACCCTAACACTAACCTCTGACCCTAACCCTAACACTTAACCCCAACTCCTAACAGTATTGTGTCCATCAGGTGGGACTACATAACCACATAACCACAGTAACCACCCTGACCCTTACCCTTAGCTCTAGCCCTAGCCCCTAACCCCTAACCCTAACACTGACCTCTGACCCTAACCCTAACCATAACCCCTAACCCTAACATTTAACCCCAACTCCAACAGTATTGTGTTCATCAGCCGTGTAAACGGTACGCGTTGTTACCGCCAGAAAAGCCAGATGCTTTTTTATGAGACGAGACAATCTCATTTTGCATGAGGCCAGAAGGTGTAGACACTGTCTTAGCCTCACCAGCCACCCGATATATTGTGCTGTGGGTGTCCCTGCCGGCTACGCCTGGCGCCAAAACCAGCTCTAACAGCAGGCGGCGGCGGCGCTGGAGGTGGGCAGTAGGGAGACGGCAGGAATGAAGCCCCCCCCCACACCGAGAGAGGGGCTAGTGGTCAGAGCGGGGAGAGGGGTGTGTGGCTCCAGTTCAAATCTCTTACGCATTCCGCCGCCACAGGTGGTGCGCGGTCGGTCACAAATAAGGCCCCCCTTACATCGTAAATATTGTGTCCGACCGTTCGAATCAGCATCTCGTCTGCAGAGGGAGCGAAGGGATGGGATAGGTTTGGCTGAGGACTGGGAGAAAGATAAGCTCCGCGTCTAAGCACCTGTGTGCACCTCGGTGGGTCCATTAGCATGGCGGGTCGCCAATGCGAATAGGACCACACAGGACGAGAACAGTGACGCCGGCTTGTCGGCCGGTATACCGACCACGGCGAAGAGCAGCATAATCTACTGTTCTGCGGTGAGTGCTATCTCCAAGTTAGCCCCGCGACTGCAACTGCCCGGTTCAAATCAACCGATGTCCAGTTCAGCCCACTGGAAAATGAGTTGGGCACTGCGTTTTGAGTATTTCCATCCGGTCATTCACAACACAGGGTGGGTACTTCACTATCTGCGGCGGAAACAACACCAACAACCGTTTAATTTACTGAGCGCTAGGATCGCCTGAAGAACGATCAAGCTTCGGGTAAAAATAAGTTGTTTACTTACGGGAAGGTTGCTTTTTTACACAGAACTTACCAGAATACAAGCCGAAAGCTTGAAATGGACATTTACAAAAGTTCACTCTCCGTAGCAGACCGACCATAAATTAGTTATTTTTCCATCTGATTTTTTAGTATACAATAAGTGAACTGGTTTCAGAGGCCAACACATAGTACTCAGTGGTCTCGAGTTTTTACAGCCGTCTTCACGGTCATTGTCATTTTATTTCCGCCCCTCTAGTCCACGCAACTTCTGACTTTCAGAACAGTAAACTATGGGATTCCTGGGTGGGGTAAGGTGGTGTTCTCCCTGACAATTTTGAAAGGTTTATTTTAGGTGCTTTTCACATGTTGTTCAATGAGTTAATATTACACTTCTGGCGCCTGTTATATAGGTTATCTGATCAACTGACCTCCAAGCACCTTTAGAATCAGTATGTTCTTTCGTATCCTTCTCCTTGAAATGAATAGAGCAAAGCTTCCAAGCATTCTTTTATGCAGGAAGAAATCCTGCCCGTGATGTTTACGACCACGACTGGGCTTTACCTTCTTATAAATTTTGAATTCAGAGACTAAAATATGTGGATCAAGCAGGCGGCTTCTTGTGAACTAACTTGTGTTGCTGCAGTACCTTGAGTTGTATGAACTGTGGTTGAAGATCTTTGTAGAACTCTACAGGCTTGTACTCAGTACTGGGCTGCTTCACGACCTTAGGACATGTGAGAATTTTCCCAAGGACCATATCTCGAAGGATGCGTCCGTCAGTGTTCAGGGCAAATAGGCTTGCTCTCTCAGATCGCAAGTGAAAGTGATACAAAAAGAAGCTGGAAAGACGAACGCCAACCACAAGCACAGACTGGTGCCTCGATATTGCACATGTATCGAGCAACCTACGGATCGATAGTTATATCTGTTGTTAATCTCTACAAGCCCTAAGGGAACAGACAACCCTATGACAATTGCAAAGGCATCTACCTACTGAACATCGCCGCGAAGATTTTTGTCCGCATCTTTCTCAATCGTCTTAACGGACTACTAGGGCCAGAACTCCTTCTAGAAAGCCACTGTGGCTTCCGACGACACCAGGGCACCACTGACCTGGTGTTTGAGACTCGACAGCTATAAGTGAAGTGCCAGGAGATGAGAATCCACGTCTACACTACCTTCCTGGACTTGCCGAATGCCTCCGATGTGGCATATTCGGAGGGACTTTGGAAAATCATGCAGGAATTCGGCTTTCTTGAACTATTCGTGCGTATGGTACGTTAGCTTCACGATGGGATGATGGCGCGCATCACGGACAACGGCGCGATTCCTGAGGCACTTGAGGTGACCAATGGAGTGAAGCTGGGCTGCGCCCCCACGCTTACCCTCTTCAATCTCACGTTCACTGCCACGCTGATTAACTCCTACTGTGATGAGCGCTGTGGGATACGCATCACCTAAAGAACCGATGGGCATCTTCTAAACAGCAGGAGCCTGCAGGCCCCCACGTGACTATCCATTACTGCTGTCCACGAACCTGTTCTCCGTCGAAGACTGCACGCTCAACACCACGACCGAAGAAGACGTGCAACGGAACATGGACATCTTCTTCGCCGGCTGCTCCAACTTCGGACTGAACGGACAAAATGGTGGTCATGCACCAACCGTCATCCAACACCCAACACGCAACACAACACTCAACCTCGAATCAATGTCGATGGCAACCAACTCAAAACGGTGGACATTTTCGCTTATCTCGAAAGCAAACTTCCCAGCAGCATAAAAATCGACGACAAAGTGGTCCACCGGATCTCCAAAGGCAGCCAACCCTTCGGTCGACTGGAGAACTCCGTGTGGGGTCACCACGATTTCCAACTGAATACCGAACTGAAGATGTACAAGGCCGTCATCCTGAAGGCACTTCTCTACGGAGCGAAGACCTGGGCCGTCTTCTCCAACTATTCTAAGAAAGTCAGTCACTTCCATCTCAGCAGCCTTTGCAGAATATTAGAACTGAGATGGCAAGACAGGATTCCCGACAAGGAAGTCCTAAAACGGACCGGAATCCTCAGGATTCACGCCATTTTGAGGTAACTAAAGCTACGTTGGAGGGGCCATCTCACTAAGATGGAAGATACATGTCTATCGAAACAGCTTTTCTATGGTGGTGTTCTCACAGGTACTCGTCGACAAGGAGGACAAAGAGGGCGCTACAGGGACACTTTGGAGAACCCTCTGAAACGACTGCAGATCAATCCGGAGATCTGCGAGGACCTCGCCCAGAACAGACCGGTATGGAGGAGAGAAGCAAAGACCGGCGCAGCCATCTACAAAGCAAATCGGATCGTCTACTCAAAGGCCAAGAGGGAGGCTCGTAAGTCACTAGTGCATCGACTCTACAGTGCCAATTATCAGCGCTTTCCACGGTGTCAGCAATCCTTCCGTGCACTAATCCGTCCTGCAGAACATCTTCGGACCCAATGCCAACAACCGGATAGCGCCTCCTCCCTATCCCACTCTCGCTCCTGCTGCAAACCCCGCAACAACGGCCCCCACAGTCACCGCCGATCATGCTGTCGTTGTCCTGCCGCCATCGATCACCGGCATCGACCGCCCTGATCTAAGTCCTGAATCGACCACAGCGATCAGCTCCATCACCATTACAACGACATCACGCGCTCCCCCACACCGACGCCCCACGTCCCATCGCCACCAACACCCCCACTTCCAGCGATGCGGACTCGGATCATGTCCGCCCTCATCGCGATCACACATTCACCCCCACATCGGCCTTGTCGGTCACTTGCGAACCCATCACACAGAGACTGGCGAACCATCAACTCGAGCACCAACCTACACTCGTCGCATCCGCCTCAACTCTCCTCACTGTCTCCGCACATTCAGCCACCACATACGCTTATTAAACCGCATGCGCATTAACGAAAACCTGCGGTAGACAACCGCAGGCTGCACCACACTATCACATCTTCCCTCACTAGCATCCACACCATATAACATCATCACCCATCACAAGCACCTAACGGTCACCTCCCATGCAAATGGGAATCGTGCGTCTCGGCCCCTCCTCCAAGTGGGCCCTATGCTGCATGTGTGATCCTAGTCCGAGACTATCACGGTGCGCCAAGCGCCGTGGTTTGGAAGGCCGCCGACTGACGCCTACACTCAGTCCACGCAGTCTGCCTAGTTGTATGTGTGTGTGTGTGGAGTGGCGGACTGACGGGATGAGATTCAGGCTGACAGGACTCCTTCTTAACGTGAACTCTGGCACTCTCACGCATATGGGGTGTGTGTGTGTGTGTGTGTGTGTGTGTGTGTGTGGGTGGGTAGTACCTCCCAGTTGATGACTGACTGGTTACTCAGCCTTTAAAGAGTGATGGCCCAGTGCAGGGCTGCGTGTCACCCTTCTGAGCCTCAAATATTGCATACCAGGATCAGTAAACCATAACCTTCACAAACTGTTGCGTGCTGGCACCTGGTTCTCTGCCTGTCGAGGCGCTTGCGCTCCCGCTGGGTGTACAGGTCGTGAGCATGGCTACCCAGTCATCCACGTCTTTCTGAAACGTCGTACTGTTGCTGTCAGGTAAAGTCCTGGTCAAGTGTTTGTTGTCGACCAGGGATGTGGTGGCACACCTAACTGCGGGTTCGGCCGTGCCAGCCACCTGCAGCCTCTCTCGCCTCCGGTCACTTTGCCTATGTCTCGGGACCAGACGCAGGTGGGGGAGGAGAGAGTGCGATAGATACTGTACAAGTCTACTCTACCGTCGTCTAGAATGCAGCAGGACTTTCACTATCCGTTGAATAGCTATTTTCCGGACCTCGCCAGTACTTAACTATGATTAAAAGTTCAGAACCATGATTTTTCGCGGTTCATAATTTTGGGATTTTAGATGCGAAAGGAAAGAAAGTGCCATTAAGCTTGTTCGGGTGTTATCTTCAATGGTTGGATGACAGTTGACCAACTTTAACCAGTTGCCGTATAATATTTACTAAACTGGTCAGCGAATCTTTGTATCTCTCCTCTTTCTCCTTCTGTCTGGAATGGTTCTCGAACTCTACGATTCTCCAATGGCCTCTCTTGTGTGATTAATGACTTACTCACAGACATTCGCATGTACTACAGGAACAATGGCTCGGCGCGACAGCCTTGTACTATCATATTTCTGTGACCCAGTTCGTCATCATTTTTGAAGATTGGTGAATGACAGGCACCTCATTCGTGCACAGCGGTGGGTGGGGATCTAAACTGTCTCCTCTCTTCATCCGCCTGAGATCCCGACCACC